TCATGAGACAATATCTACTGGTACAAAATTTTAGATAATAAATCAATGAACATTGTCATGTGATTCATGACCAATTTTTATAAAAATTATTTTTCACCGTAATAATGTTTGTCAGTGACTGCCCTGGAATGTCATGGTCAAAGTATTTCAGTGTTTAATTTCAGTGTTTAATTTCAGTGTTTAATTTCAGTATTAAACTCAAGCTATGTTGCCTAATTTATACATATGTATATTACATGTAATATTGAATAACAATTTATTCAGTAATGCACTTTTTGCCATTGGCCCTTTGTTCAATGGTAGATTATGGTAAATAAACAAATAAATAGAAAATGTACAATACATGGAATGAAAAACATGTTTACAAAGTACTTATTTTACTTGACTATATTTTGATCTAAGATTGACATACAAAGGACACACAAACAAGAAATGGTATTTGTCATTAATAAATACATTACTGCAATGACATTTTATAGCCAATAGTTGATCAAAGTCTTCATCAAAGAAATAACCAAATAAGAATGTACAACATAAATAATATGATCAACCTGCTGTACGTGGGGGGGGGGGGGGGTCAATACCATTGTGTGTACATTATCTAGTGGCTACTATAATATGACAACCATAAAAAAAACACTGGTGCAAATGCAGATTTACAAGATCCCATTAATCATAAAAAACAAAGGCAACAAATAAATAAGAAAAGTTTGATGACTCTAATACAAAACATATACCTGTCACCAGATAAATATAATATACAATATTAAGGTGCAGCTTGCTAAGGAGTATATGTGTATGCACAATTGACACCTGTTGATGCGTATGAATACCCCCATTATAACCCATTCACATCCATTGCAAAATGTTGTCACTCTCCACAATGACAAAGTTGTTCAGTTTTTAATTTTCAATCAGTACACCATGTTATGTTCAGTTTAGTTATGATAGGATGAAAGTCTCCAAAATTGTCAAAATTCGCCCAATTTATTTGAAATTTAAAAAACAAATCAATAAAGCAAATGTATATAATGATTTTCTGTTTCCTGGTACTATGCAACTTGTTTTGCAAAGGGCTTCCATACTAGACATCACAACTCTTAACTGCATGTGATAGTTAAAATTTATCATGCCTAATAATAAAAACTGGGTTAAGCAAATAAGAAAAAAGTGTTTTGTATTTTAATTGTTGCATCATTATTGAAATCTTTAATTCCAATCTTTTTTCCATTTGTATAAGTGCATGTAGCAATAATTTGAATGTATTCATGTACATGTACAGTATTCTGTTAATTAGGAAAGATAAGAACACAGACTACCAACTATTCTAAGGGGAAGTTTTCTTGAATAATGGGCATGACTGTTTAGCCTATTATTGTGTACACCCCATTCTTGCCCTGTTATTTCGCAATAATAGGCAATGCAAAATCCTTTATATCAATTATAATACCTCAAAATGTTGAAAAATTGAATTTACATATAGTACTGGTAGTACAAAATGCAGCCTGAGAAAAAAGAAATCAATGGTGTGTTAAACGCGTCATAGTGCTTGTATTTCAGTTGTGTGTAGGATGACATATGAACACCCACTGATACACTGATAGGTAATTTGTGTAGATAAAAATAACCTGAATTTTTAATGTGAAATAATCATAGATGATTAGTTGTTTTAACGATGCATACAAATTTGAGGAAATGCTAGACATGGCTTAGTTACACATACATGTACTCTTGTTTGTATGGTCATGCTTAGACTTCAATCATTGAATAGTTATCATCCGATAACAGAGTAGAATGTGTTATTTATCAACCAACGAGAACCTAACGCTTCAATAATGAACATCATTATAATTAGAAATACCTTCTATTCCTGGAAAATACCTGTATATATAGTGACACATTGCATTAACATGTACATGTACAAGCTTATTTCAAAATACCTGTATATATAGTGACATATTCCATCAACATGTACATGTACAAGCTTATTTCAGGGATATATGCAGAGCCTTATTCTTTCTTTCACACTTTCTTAAAATCGAGTAATGTCTCAGTTTTTAAAAAAATTCTAATTGTTCCACAGCACTCAAAAGTTATCATACATTCATTTAGAAATCCATTGACATAAATACATATATAATCAGTTACACAACAGACATGCAGCCATGCATGGCCACTAACTCCAAACCATGAGTTCTTACCTTGTGGCGTCGGCGGAGGGTGAAATTCTTCCAACAGAGCAGATACAGTTGCTGCAGAAGTCCCATAATTTATTTCTAGATGCGAGAACCTGCCTTGGTGACAGCAGCAAACCTCTAAGGTATAAATGGAAAATATGTATCACTTATCGATAATAAAATGACTCACAATTTCACCTGAAGTTTGACCTTACATAAACTATTGTGAATACATTACTCAGTATCGTAATTTATTGCTGTCATGTAGCTACTAACTCCCTGTCAATGTAATATTTCATTGTTTTTACATTCAGTCAATGTTCTCACCAGAAACCACTGCCACAGTACAAATTGATTTACTAATTTGCATAACATTTGCTCATGATTTGCATAATTATTCCAAACAGAAAATTGTGATAATTAACAAAACTCTCATTGCATCAGATTTCAGCTATTTATCAATTTGATTTAAACCATTTGATTGAATTATTGTGACAGTCAGAATAATGTCTGTGTTAGACCAGTGTGGTGGTAAACACATGCTGTAAGTGTCCTGGACAGAACACTGATTCAGTTTACAGTAAAAAGTATTTTTTTAAATATAACAATAACAAGGAATATGAATATTTATTATGTATTATCGACGATCAAAAAAATGTCACAGAAAAAAATCTCAATAAAAATCACATAATACAGATTGATAGTTAGTACCAGTACATGTGAGTTTAATTGCCTTTGATTCTTAGTTTAGAAAGCATGTCATTTTAGATGGGTAAATACCATGGATATTGATGTTGTATTAGGGTATGTGAGGGTCTTGTAATTGCATACACATGCAAAACTTCAGCTTAAGGAGAGAAATTAGTTTTAGGATTGGGGTGATAGGGGTTGATTTATTGAGGAGATTTTGGTAAAGTTTCAGCAAAGTTTGGGCTTTGAAAAATTGCTAAAATAATACCAGTAATATTTATTTACCAGTGCTATATTCAACATGGTGATAAACCACAGACCCATGTTTGTACACCAACGCCCTTGTACTATATTTATTTAAACCACCCTTGTGACATCACATTATATATTGTATTATGCAGTGATTAACCACCAAGTAAGGCAAAACAACATTGGAAGATAAACCACCCTGTGGTAGTTCTTGAACAACATATACACTGTACATGTAGTTTGATAAACACCCAGAGAATTCTCTCGAGAATTCCCCTGGATATCTCCCATGATGAAGTTAGCATACTTCCTCTATAATTTATAATTTTATTGGCATGCAATACCCAGAATTTGAACGTTTTATGTATTTTGAGGTGATCACTCTACTCATCCCATTGTTCCCATATACAAAAACAGTTACATAACAAATGTATAGACTAATATGTAAATGAAATCATTCAAACAAAGTCTGGTGTAATCACAATTGAATTTTCTGGCTTTAAAATTACCTTGGGTCTCATACTGGTTAGTATTTATCTTATAGTTACAGTGAATATTTGCATGACTTTGATATGAAATATTTATTTGTATCTAAGAATCATCTTGAAATCGTTCCTAGTTGAAAATGTCTGTTTCATTTATTTCACAAATCATTGCTGTCAATATCGTTATTTGATACACTGTATTCTTGTTGGACTAAATCTCTTTCCCAGATTACACATAATACAGTCTAATAGCCAAGAAAACCTCATGTGAGAGTGGAAATGTTATTATTAACAACCAAGTATGGATCAAATGAGTTAAAATATCAGATTATTCATTTCAGAACACTTAAAGCTATATTTTGTGCTGGGTATAAAATAAAGTAAGAATTTTTAATACTCAAAACTGCTAAAAATTTGGGTGATTTTAGAATTTGTGAAGAAAGATTTTCACAAAAGTCACTAACACTCTAAGTAATGAACATTAGATTTTTTGTGAATTTAAAGCAGCACAAAAGAAAATGTTAATAAAAATATGAGATTCACCGGAATTTCTTTTTTCTTACTGTTGTGAGCTTTTCACGTGTTGGATGTGGTGATAATAAAACTGTACAAACCTGCTACATGATTTAATAACTAGCAATTCGGTTTCCTTTTAAATTACAATAATATTTTTAGTAACCATGATTATATGGATAGTCTTTGCCATGATGGACGCTAGAAATTACAAAATTCTATAGACCACACAGAAAGCGGGATGACGTCACTGGTTATGTTTACATTGTCAAATCAATAATAGAAAACACGTAACAGAAGTCTTGTCTCCGCGCCTCTCTACATCGTTTAAAGATCTGTCTATCCACAGTATCGAGGTTTCACCAGTTTCACAATCTACGATTCCATGTAATAATGTATTTTTATGATTTAAAGTGTAAACATCCAGTGGTAAGCGTCTAGTCTGGAAATGGCAGCAAAGAAGTTCGGGCTTTTGTCAGAGTGCCAAATAATTCGTCGTCCACTGTCGTTCATAACAACCACCAATCAACTCTTTCTCATTTTATCTCATATTTGTAGTACACAATAAACTCACCTGCCAACTATAAATAGTGTGTCAACATCATCGTGACCACCACGAACAACTCAGAATTCCCTTTCGCTTTAAGGTAAACGTCAGACGTTAGCGGAAAATGTACCCCTGTTTGACCCATTCAATCATTAGGGTCGACGTTGAGGGGGATCGTCACAAAACAAAGAAAACGTCTGAGTCATGGTGCATGGTGCGTCTTATGGTTTTAGTCACAGTCAGCTGGCGTACACGTGATAATAAAATAAATGCAATTAATTTAACGATATTTACTATATGGGGCAGCCATTTTATTACGGCTTGAAAACAAATAAAAAGGCAAGTTGAGAAACGGGTTTTCCAGTTGCCTACAAGTTGGGGAGAAAATACAAAACTTTTAGTTTCACAGACCACGGTTGGAATAATATTAAAGGTGGTGGTCGTCGCGCCGTGACATGTTCGATATGACCTCAGACTAGATATGACGTATACAACACTTATCCAATACATTGTTTACATGAATCAAGTGCTTTGCGACAATCACCGCCCTTTACTGTCACCGCCATGTTGTTCCGAACACCAAGTTGCCAGCTAAGTTGCTGACTGGTTTGCTAAGCGCCCTTGGAGATCGTAACGCGATTAGAACAAGTTGGGTCAATCCAACCATGGAGCTATGATCCAACCCCAACAAGAGACGACAAACTAATAATGGGCGTCTCAGACACATTGAATATATATAGAAGATACGATTGATTTTCAATATATTTTATTCAATGTTATACATTCCTATATAATAAATTGCAAAATTATGTTTTTACACAGTGACAGAATGAAATGTCTGGACACAGGCGATGGTGTGTCTGGCGTGTCATTTTAGCCGAACCGTGCACCCTCGTAAAGGTGGATTGAACTAAACAGTTCTAATCACGTCTTCTTACGCACGACTCAGGAAACCAATAAACCATTAGTTGCCATAGGCACACCTCATTATACGAAGAAAATATGAACACTTCATTGAAACCGAATTCGTCACCAACTGTAAAACGAGGGAGGGCAAAGGAGGGGGGTCACTTGTACAGGTTACAGAAAATAAAATAAAAATGTTTACGTTTTACTGGAAATAAAACGAAAGCTCCAATTACAGTAAAAAATATGTTTTTACACTTTACATATTTTTAATATATTTGATGATTTGTGTTTAAGAATCAAGACATTATCACACATTGAATAATCCTATGTTCAACCCGTTCAACTGTTGTCTACCATGACTATTCTCAGCACGTGTGTTGCACATGCATTTCAGTTTTTTTGCATACAAATTGAAGTGCGACAATTCTCCTGCTGCCACAAATCTTCTGGGTATATGTAACGCGATTGTACGAATCAAGTCAGGAATTATTGTTACACGTTAACGTACGATGCATGTACGAATCAAGTCAGGAATTATTGTTACACGTTAACGTACGATATTAGTTCCGATGTGATATACTTCCCGGTGTTCTACTAAGAACAATGCTTGTCGATGACACCGTTGCACAACGTGTAGATATTATTGCGTTCGTGTCATATTGTAAAATTCGGAATATTTGGGACTGTCTTGTTAACTTCGACAAATATAAATAGTATACTTCTATCGTCGTATTGATATATTTAAATATTTTCCACTTGTTAGATGCATGAACAATTTCAATAATTAATTGCGGAATGTTCAGAACTTTACATTTTTAGTAATTTGAGCCGTTTTAAATCTAAGGTACATCAGTTAAATTCAGATATTTTAAATGTATATGTATTTTATCGTATATTTTTGTATGTTAGTATTTATTGTATTTTGTGTGAGCGAGGAACCTGTAAATGGGACTTGTGCCCGGAGGTCTTTAAAATAAAAAAATAAAAAATAAACAAACAAACAAACAAACAAATAAATAAATAAATAAATAAATAAATAAATAAATAAATAAATAAATAAATAAATAAATAAATAAATGGCGCATTACTTAAGATGATGTAGAATCATGTTATTATAATAAGTATTATAGTGACAAATAACGGTCTGGTGCCAAAAACAATGTGTTTAAAGATAAAATAAACAAACTTTAGCCTTATTTATTCATTGCATGAACACGGCAGCCATATTGTAAACACTCTCTTGCATATTGCATGTGAGGGCGCACTTCACAAATAAAACAATTACATAAATATACTGTAATAATACATAAATGTGTACTAGTATACTGGACATTACAGTAGCCTGAGTGTTTGATATTTAATATACAAGTACCTTTGGCGGACCGCTTTCAGATTTTGAGTCAATATTCTATTTTGGTCAAAACAGCTACTTTCGACCGTGACGACGTCTTGAAAACTACCAGTTTAATTGATTTAATAATTAGTAGGTATCTTGGGCCGGGTCAATCTCTGTGAGATTTTTTTTCATTGTGTGACGATATCAACTATTCTCTATTTTTAGAAAAAAAATTGTGATGTTTGGTAAAAAAAAAAAAAAAAAGTATACGTGGTCATTATTGGGGTGTTCGTGGAATCACCAATAGAAGGGAACTAGAAGAGACAATGTTTCCACATTTTATTCCAGTAAAACAAAAGAATAGTTGAATTACCAAAAAAAGGATACATCATGGGAATGCCGAAATCAAAAAAGTTTAGAACAGAATTAACGAACTTCTTTGTGTGGAGTCCGGTCAAACCCTGGTGGCAGCCTAAGCCATGTTTGTTTTTATTATTAGAGGACGCTTACGTACGCTTATGGTAGGATGAAAATACACCGTAAAATATCGCAAAATTACGGCACGCTGTAACGTATTGGGTTACGGTGGCAGATGTATAATAATTATTTACTAATAATTCCTACGTTTCAACTCATCCGCAAATAAATACACCATGCTTGCAACGTATGGGTTATTAGTAAATGAATAAATAAATAAAACACGCTGCACTGTACATGTAACGTAGAGTTATTAGTAAATAAATAAAAACACGCTGTACATGTAACGTATGGGTTATTAATAAATGAATGTAAAGACGCTGTACATGTAACGTAGAGTTTTTAGTAAATAAATGTAAAGACGCTGTACATGTAACGTAGAGTTATTAGTAAATAAATAAAAACACGCTGTACATGTAACGTATGGGTTATTAGTAAATTAATGTAAAGACGCTGTACATGTAACGTAGAGTTATTAGTAAATAAATAAAAACACGCTGTACATGTAACGTATGGGTTATTAGTAAATGAATGTAAAGACGCTGTACATGTAACGTAGAATTAGTTATTAGTAAATAAATATAAAGACGCTGTACATGTAACGCAGAGTTTTTAGTAAATAAATAAAAACACGCTGTACATGTAACGTAGTTATTAGTAAATAAATACAAATACGCTGTACATGTAACGTAGATCTTTTAGTAAATAAATGTAAAGACGCTGTACATGTAACGTAGAGTTATTAGTAAATAAATAAAAACACGCTGTACATGTAACGTATGGGTTATTAGTAAATGAATGTAAAGACGCTGTACGACATGTAACGTAGAGTTAGTTATTAGTAAATAAATATAAAGACGCTGTACATGTAACGCAGAGTTTTTAGTAAATAAATAAAAACACGCTGTACATGTAACGTAGAGTTATTAGTAAATAAATATAAAGACGCTGTACATGTAACGTAGAGTTTTTAGTAAATAAATGTAAAGACGCTGTACATGTAACGTAGAGTTATTAGTAAATAAATGTAAAGACGCTGTACATGTAACGTAGAGTTTTTAGTAAATAAATGTAAAGACGCTGTACATGTAACGTAGAGTTATTAGTAAATAAATATAACGACGCTGTACATGTAACGTGGAGTTATTAGTAACGAAATATAAACACGCTGTACATGTAACGTAGAGTTTTTAGTAAATAAATGTAAAGACGCTGTACATGTAACGTAGAGTTATTAGTAAATAAATATAAAGACGCTGTACATGTAACGTAGTTATTAGTAAATAAATATAAACACGCTGTACATGTAACGTAGAGTTTTTAGTAAATAAATGTAAATACGCTGTACATGTAACGTAGTTATTAGTAAATAAATATAAACACGCTGTACATGTAACGTAGAGTTTTTAGTAAATAAATGTAAAGACGCTGTACATGTAACGTAGAGTTATTAGTAAATAAATATAAAGACGCTGTACATGTAACGTAGAGTTATTAGTAAATAAATAAAAACACGCTGTACATGTAACGTGGAGTTATTAGTAAATAAATATAAAGACGCTGTACATGTAACGTGGAGTTATTAGTAAATAAATATAAAGACGCTACACTTTGCAACAATGTTAGTACGCACGTGCACGTGTTGCAAAGTACTGTGCTCGAGCTGTTAATAATTATAAATCTTTAGCATTACAAGGATTCAATCCATAAGATATAAAAACGTATGTCCGATACGATATACGTAACAACTTAGCCCCCCCCCCGGCTTAGCCCTCCACCGTTGAACCATAAACATTCAAAATTACTTGAAGTTTCCATCGTTTCGTTGTGACATAGACACTATGTACCACAAGCAGAGCGTCTATTCTCATTGAACAATCCACATTATATACGAGAATCAACTAAACTATACCTAATGGTTAGTATATTGCAAAAACACGTCTAAAATTCAAGAACTTCACTGCGCATGTGCAACGACCTCACTCGGGGGGGGGGGGTGTTTGCTAACTGAAGATTTTTCGCGTTAACACCGGGCTTCAAAAAGGCAATTGCAAGTTGGAAATTGCGTATGAATTACGATATTCGATGTGGGATAATTCTTTATATGCTTACAAAAAATAACATCCTTGTAAGAGTTACGGACGAATAAAATAGCTTATTATGTTTTGCACCTTGTCCATGTCTACGAAATTACGTGGAAGGTATCAAAGAAGTCGCCGTGGTAATTAGTAATTAGCGCGACGACCTTTAATTATTGGTATTGTTAATAGAAAAGATAAGATATGCCTAGATTGTGTTAAATGACAATTTATTCTTGGGTTTAAAGAGTGTTTCTTAGGTAGCGATGGTTCTTCAATAATTCAATGATTCTGTCTTGGTTTAGACATAGTTGCATCATATCACC